AGACCCCCTCTTGGCAAATCAGATCACAATCTTGTGTTTCTCTGCTCAAAATATAAACCCCTTGTTCAGAGGCAACCTGCAATAAAGAGAACAGTGAGAAAATGGTCAACGGAAGCTGAAGAAGCCCCGCGGGGTTGTTTTGAGGCTACAGACTGGGATGCACTGTGCCAGCCACATGGAGAGGACATCATTGACTGAGTGTGTGACCGACTATATTAACTTCTGTGTAAACAACATCATCCCCACCAGAACAGTGAGATGCTTCCCCACTAACAAACCCTGGATCACCACTGACCTGAAGGAACTGCTAAACCAGAAAAAAAAGCCTTCAGGGAGGGAGACAGGGAATTATTGAAGAGCACACAGAAGCAACTAAAAGTCAAGATCAGAAACAGCAAGGAGGTGTACAAGAAGAAGCTGGAGAGCAAGCTCCAGCAGAACAATATGAGAGAGGTGTGGTCAGGGATGAAACAGATCACAGGCTTCAAGCAGAAGGAGGATCAGAAGGATGGAAGGCCTCAACAATCACCTGGATCAAAGACTACCTGACAAACAGACCACAGTTTGTGAGACTGAAGAGTTGTGTGTCTGACCAGGTGGTCAGTAGCTCAGGAGCACCACAGGGGACTGTACCCTCACCACTCCTTTTCACTCTGTACACCTCAGATTTCCAGTACAAAACAGACTCCTGTCATCTGCAGAAATATTCAGATGACTCTGCAGTGGTCGGGTGGATCAGAGATGGACAAGAAGCTGAGTACAGGGAACTGGTGGACCGCTTTGTGGCATGGTGTGGAAACAATCATCTCATCTTGAATGTGAACAAAGGAGATGATTGTAGATTTCAGGAGAAACAGGAACAGGTCCAACCCTATTTCCATCATGGGAGAAGAAGTGGAGGTGGTGGAGAAGTATAAATACCTTGGGGTTCACCTGGACAACAGAGTGGACTGGAAATGCAACAGTGAAGTGTCTACAAGAAGGGACAGAGCAGACTGTACTTCTTGAGGAAGCTGAAGTCCTTCAATGTTTGGAGCAAGATGCTGCATATCTTCTATAAGTCTGTTGTAGAGAGCACTGTCTCTTCTGCATCATCTGCTGGGGGAGCAGCACCAGAGCAAGTGACTTAAAGATCAACAAGCTCATAAAGAAGGCTGGCTCAGTTCTGGGGACTCCTCTAGAACCTCTGGAGATGATTGTTCAAAGAAGGATTCTTCATCAAATAAAGAACATTATAGACAACCCTCAGCATCCTCTTCATCAGACTGTCATACAACAACAAAGTGTCTTCAGTCAGAGGCTTCTTCAGATCTGCTGCAGGACAGACACTACAAGAGATCCTTCCTGCCACAGCATCAGCATCTAGAACAACTCTTTAATGAAACCAGGATGATGAGTTACATCCATCCATTTTCTTTACCCGCTTATTCCATTTTGGGTCACAGGGGTCACTGGTGCCCATGTCCAGCAATCACTGTGCAAGGGGCAGGGGACACCCTGGACAGGTCGCAAGTCCATCACAGGGACACATAGAGACAAACGAGACAAACAACCATTCACTCTCTCACTCATACCTAGGGACAATTTAGAGTTACCAATCAGTCTAACATGCATGTTTTTGGTCTGTGGGAGGAAACCGGAGCGCCCGGAGAAAACCCACGCATGCACGGAGAGAACATGCAAACTCCACCCAGAAAGGCCCCTGGACCGGGGTTTGAACCAAGGACCTGTTAGCTGAGAGGCAGCAGCTCTACCAGTTGTGCCACGGTGCTGCCCTGATGAGTTACAACATTTAATTTCCTTCTAGGATTAATAAAGTAGTTTTGAATTTGAATTGAATGATGAAGATTCACTATTTACATTTACAAACTGGAATCTATCAGATAAATACAAACCGGATTCCAAAAAAGTTGGGACACTAAACAAATTGTGAATAAAAACTGAATGCAATGATGTGGAGATGGCAAATGTCAATATTTTATTCGTAATATAACATAGATGACAGATCAAAAGTTTAATCTGAGTAAATGTAACATTTTAAAGGAAAAATATGTTGATTCAAAATTTCACAGTGTCAACAAATCCCAAAAAAGTTGGGACAAGTAGCAATAAGTGGCTGGAAAAAGGAAATTGAGCATATAACGAACAGCTGGAAGACCAATTAACACTAATTAGGTCAATTGACAACATGATTGGGTATAAAAAGAGCTTCTCAGAGTGTCAGTGTCTCTCAGAAGCCAAGATGGTAAGAGGATCACCAATTCCACCATTGTTGCGCAGAAAGATAGTGCAGCAATACCAGAATGGTGTTACCCAGCGTAAAATAGCAAAGACTTTTAAGTTATCATCATCAACCGTGCATAACATCATCAAAAGATTCAGAGAATCTGGAACAATCGCTGTGCGTAAGGGTCAAGGCCGTAAAACTCTACTGGATGCTCGTGATCTCCGGGCCCTTAAACGTCACTGCACCTCAAACAGGAATGCCACTGTCAAGGAAATAACAGAATGGGCTCAGGAATACTTCCAGAAAGCATCGTCAGTGAACACAATCCACCGTGCCATCCGCCGTTGCCAGCTGAAACTCTACAGTGCAAAGAGGAAGAAATTTCTAAGCAAGCTCCACAAGCTCAGACGTTTGCACTGGGCCAGGGGTCATTTAAAATGGAGTGTGGCAAAATGGAAGACTGTTCTGTGGTCAGATGAGTCAC